GGACACTCCTGCGGTCCCTCCCCAGCTGGCCCTGATCAGGACTGGGCAACGTGGGCCAGACACGCCCTGGAGCCCTCCTGTGGTCCCTCCCCGGCCCCTGATCTTGCATGGGTGGGGCTCCCTCGACCTGGCCTGTGCTCTCTCGCAATTCAGGACCCCTCAGGGGATGTTGGAGAGCCTGTTTCAGCCCGATCCCCACAGGCCAGGCCGAAGGACCCCACTGGTACACAAATCCGTGCACCAGGTCTCTAGTTTATATATATTTTTTAAGCAATTCAAAAATGGCAGCATTTAATTTCTTTGAGTAACCTTGGAGAAATGTGAGTTATAATAATTGATGTGAAGCCTTGAAAAATCCAACTGATACAAATACTCCATTGAAATTTCCCTTCTCAGTAAAAACAAGTACAAAAAGTTCCCCTTCAGGTATTCAGAATTCATTGGTATGGCAATGATCTTTTAAGAGTAAATGGATATTCTCCTTATTTTTATTAATAAGTAATGGCAACAATTAAGAGTATAAGAAATGCATTGTTGTTTTACAATAAGACAAGAAGATATGATTATTTAATTACTGAAGCTTACAAAATAATTTTTGAAATTTTATTTTTATTTAAGTCATAAGATAGGTTATAAGGACTTGAATTTGCTCATTTAATCTATTAAATGGTATCACTTGCTTTGTGACAACCCAGCTCACTATGTAAATAAATTAAAAATTGCATTAATTTAACATAGTACTTTGTATATGTTAAATAGGTTCATTTGTTAGAGAATATTTTAGCTAGCTTTATCCATTGTATAAAATAAAATTACTTGTAACCTATCTGATTCAAATACAACATGAATCCTCCTACTTCTGCAGTAATGTAAATTTTTAAAAGTAAAACATTTGTTGAGATAATAAATTATAATATGCATTCTACCTCATTACCTCTTGGTTCATTCCATCTTTCAAATATACAGAAAGGTATCTTCAAACTATTAGACTATTTTTATGGTTTGATAACTTATAACTCTTTAATAATGAAAAATGTTAAGGCCAAATTTAATTCAAAATATCAGAACTAAAATTAAAGACCACTTATTAGAAACAAGACTGCTCCTGAGATCATAAATATAATTTATATTTGGATGAAAATGTTAGTCACTATGTTTCCCCTTATTTCTCTCTTATACAGTAGGTTTTATTTGTCACAGCACAAGTGAATTTAAATTTGTGGAATTTTTTGTTCTGAATTTTATAAGTACTGATCATGGCTAACATGATTTCTAAAAATGCTTACAGATAATTGAAATATAAAAGAAGGATCAGCATAAAATAAACTTACTGTTTCACCAATCTTTCCAATGTTTCCTTGATCTCCCACTTCTCCCTGTTAATAAAGAATATAAAGTTGCAAAAATGACTATTTTTCCAACAAGATTATTCATGCATTACTTATGTTTTCATTTTAATGTAATTATCTAGTTATAACATAGAAAAAGGCAAAAGAAATCTCAGTTATTCAAAACTAGGTTGACAGTTCACTAGACAGCTTTTTTATGGAACATGACTCTATTTTCATTCAAATAGTAATAACCTATTTTCTTAAGTTACATTCTTCCAGTAAGGACTTTTAATCAATTTTTAACCACTTCTACAAATAAAATTCAAAAAATAAAATATTTATTGAGATGTACTCTGCAAAAGGCCGATGGTAGGCACTGTGGAAAATGTTAAAAAGAATACAAACAAAGCCCTTGCCCACAGGAATGCTCTATTTGCTTCAGAAAATTAGGTATCTCCCAGAAGAACAGAACACATGCCACACATAAGTCGCAAAGGGCATCATAGGAACAGGCACGCTGTGGGCTGGTGGAGCTAGAGCTGACTTCACTGGAGAAGTAATGTTATGTTTATAATCGTAATTCACAGTCCCTAAAGCTCTGAAAACCCAGTTTTTCACAACTTGGTGACAAACGTGTCCTAACCTGAATTTATTTGGCAGCAATCCTTTACCTGATCTGAGTCAGGCTGTTTATTATAGTGTTGATTTATTCTGATAAATCTGAACATCTTGACAGTTCACCAAATAAATATTCATGTGTCTAATTATGGTGTGACACCATAATATGGTGTGCTGACCATAGCCTATTGGCATGTTAAGTAAAATACAGTATAATGACCACAGTATTTCTGAAAATCCAAACATTAACAATTTCAAATAATGAATTATGAAACTACATTTGAGTTGGGCCCTGAAGAAGAGGTGATATTTACACTGGTGATGAGAATAGCCATTTTTGATGGTGAGATATGGCGTGAACAAAGGCTGAACAAAGGCATAGATATATTAATGACAGGTAGAAGATCAAGTTCAGGGTGTTTCACATAGTTAATCTGACAGGAGTATATGTTTTAT